AAAAAAAAAAAAAAAAAAAATTATTACTTCATAGCTTTCCTTAGAGCAAGTTATCTCTTCTGGTTGTTACTGCCTGCCTTCATGGGATGTATATTATTGCTGGAGAGAATAGCAAGCATCTGTAGTAACTGGTATATATCCTTTGGGTGGCTGTAGCATTCAGGGTAGAGTCAATGTTTACCATTTGTTGCATAGATTGATGTATTGTATACTTATGGATTATTATGAAAAAGCAGTTTGTGTTAGTATTGCATTATTAAAGCATGTGTTTTAAGGTAAGTAGTAGATTTTAAGTCCAAGATGTTTCATGTATTGTTTATTCTTGTGATTTTATTTTACTTTAGGGATTTATTCTTCATTGCCTGTTGAAGTTCCTCTCAATCACAAACGGTTTGTTTGTGATCTAACTCAAGCGGATCGCCTTGCCCTCTATGATTTTGTAGTTGAAGAGACAAAGAAAAAGCGCTCTGATTCTCAGATCATTGAAAATGATAGTGATCTATTTGTGGACTTGGCTGCCAAAGTCAATCAAGGTTTGAGATGAATAGTTCTACATTCTTAATTGTTATTTCATTCTGTGAATGTTATTAAGATGATTTAATTGTCAGGCCACTTTGTGTTGGAGTAGAATGGTTTTGTGTCCTTTAATATTGACAGTATAGTCAGCCCTCAATGTCTGTAGGTTACATATCCATGAATTCAACCAACTATGGATTGAAAATATTTGAGAGAATAAAAGGATGGTTGTATCTATACTAAACATCTAGAAGTTTTTTCTTGTCATAATTCCCTAAACAATAACAGTGCAACAATTTACATAGCATTTACATTGTACATGTTAGGTATTAAAAGTAATCTAGAGGTGAGGAAGTATATTGGAGTCTGTGTATAGGTTATATGTAAATACTATGGCATTTTATATAAGGGCCTTGAGCATCCATGGATTTGGTATCTTTGGGGGCGGTCTACCAATCCCACATGTACACTGAGAGATGAATATATATATTATTCTTACAGAAGGAAAGTATGATTAATGTAAAAGTCAAGCACTGAGTAAATGTTATAACTATGCTATTACTCTAATCTGTGTACAAATGGCCAGAAAAAAGGAATGAAATAAAATTTTTGCCCAGGGCCTGTGTGTGGTGGCTCACGCCTATAATCCTAACACTCTGGGAGGCTGAGGTTGAAGACCAGCCTGAGTAAGAGTGTGACTTTGTCTCTACTAAAAATAGAAAAACTAGCTGGGAATAGTGGCAGGTTCCTGTAGTCCCAGCTACTGGGGAGGCTAATGCCACTGCCTTCTATCAGGGGCGACAGAGTGAGACTCCGTCCCCCCACCCCCCAAAGGTAGTCTACATATAAATACAGTGTAGAATTTTTAGAATGTTTTTGTCTGCTGCCTTGAAAACATTGAAATACTGGGGCGGTGCCTGTGGCTCAAAGGAGTAAAGCACCAGGCCCATATGCCAGAGGTGGCAGGTTCAAACCCAGCCCTGGCCAAAAACTTCAAAATAAATAAAAAAAATTAAAAGAATTAAAAAAAAAAAACATTGAAATACAGGATTCTGGTGTTCTTACCTGCTAATTCATAAGAATTTAACAGTTCCAAATGTACAATTTTATTGTCTTACTAGATAATAGTCGAAAAAGTCCAAAATCCTACCTTGAAATCCTGGCAGAGGTGAGAGATTATAAAAGACGACGCCAGTCCTATAGAGCTAAGAATGTTCACATAACCAAGAAATCATATACTGAGGTAAGTTTTATATAATCTTATATATCTTTATTGATATGTACAAAATTTCCCTTAGGTAGTTTTCTAAATCTGTTTTATGAATTTCCACAGTTCCTTGAAAGTTTTCTGAAAGGAAGGATCTTCAGGGTATCCCACCTGATTTGTATTTGCCCCTTCACTTTTAGGCCCACCCAGGCAAACATTCATAGTACCAAACCTTTATATATATATAAAAAAGTACCAAACCTTTATATATATGTATATATATAAAGAAGATGTACAGTCTTAAAAAATATTCTGCTTTTGAGAAAGGAGTATTGTATCATGATAAGAACATGAGTTTTGACTTTAAATAGACCTCAGCTTGAGTGTTGATTCTGCTATCTCTCCTTTTTTTTTTTAATTGAGACAGAGTCTCACTTTGTTACCCTCTATAGAGTGCTATGGTGTCGTAGCTCACAGCAACCTCCAACTCCTGGGCTCAAGAGCCTCCCTAGTAGCTGGGACTACTGGCGCCTGCCACAGTGCCCAGCTATTTTTGTTGTTGTCGTTGTTGTTTAGCAGGCCTGGACCGGGTTCTAATCCACCAGCCCCACCACCCACATGTGGCTGGTGCCATAGCTACTGAGCTACAGACACCCAGCCTCTTTTTTTGAGACAGAGTCTGCCCTTGGCACAGTGCCACAGCGTCACAGCTCATAGCAACCTCAAACTCTTGGGCTCAAGCAATTTTCTTGCCTCAGCCCTCCAAATAGTTGGGGAGTATAGACACCTACCATAATACTCGGCTATGATTTTTTTTTTTTTTTTTTACAGATGAGGTCTCACTCTTACAGGCTGGTCTCAAACTCCTGAGCTCAGGCAATCCACCCACCTCAGCCTCCCAGAGTATTAGGATTATAGGAGTAAGCCACAATACCCAGCTGTTCTGCTGTTTCTTTTCTTTCTTTTTTTTTTTTTTTAATTGAGACAGAGTCTTACTTTGTTCCCCTGGATAGAGTGCCATGACGTCACAGCTCACAGCAACCTCTAGCTCTTGAGCTTAGGTGATTCTCTTGCCTCAGCCTCCCAAGTAGCTAGGACTACAGTTGCCTGCCACAACGCCCGGCTAGTTTTTGTTGTTGTTGCAGTTTGGCTGGGGCCAGGCTTGAACTTGCCACCCTTGGTATATGGGGCTGGTGCCCTACTCACTGAGCCACAGGTGCCGCCCTATAAATCTTTTAATGATTTATTGTATCTCTGGTCATGGCTTTTTCAACATTTTATCTATTCTTAGCCTTATCCATGTCGTACATATTACATTTTGTTTGCTCTACTCTAGAACAAAATTACTTTGACAAATTTCACAGAAAAATTATTATATATTTTAGTTAGTTACTATGCCCAACTGCTGTGGGGTATGCAAAGATAAATGGCTCACAGACACAAGCCTCAAGGAGCTTAGTTAATAGTTTAATACGTGAAAGAGACATTTCAAAATACGGATTGTGTTAAGTGCTGAAATAAAGGTGAAACGGAAGTATATGGGAGGAGGGAGTGGTAGTTTTTAAAAGGTTAGATTGGCAAGGGCCTTATCAATAAGTTTTTGTTTGAGGGAAAGGAGAAAAGGAAGCAGGGAGGAATAAAGGAATGTCTGGTAGGCCTGTGTTAGGTGGGTTCTAGGGCTTCAGGGCACTCATGTAGACCTGCTAGACAGGTTGTCGAGTGGGGTTTCTAGGGGAATGAGAGCTAGAATTTGAGTACGAGTGTGTGTGCCTCATATCACTCCATAGAAGCAATCATGGGGAGGTGAAATGGTGGATAAGGATTTTTCAGGAGGAAGGATTCACATTCTTAAAAGTAAGAGTACAGGAGTTTTTTAGAGACCCATTAATAATCCAGGGTGCCTAGAATTTAGAGCTTCTGAGGAACTGTCCATTGAGAGAGAAGGCTGCCTTCTACCTGGTGTTGTAAAATGCTGGAGGGCTTTAAAGTCTTCACTGAGGAGTTTGGATATTTTTTTATTTTACTTTGGGAACCATTGAAATTTCTTTAAGGTGGAGAGAAACATAGCCAGCCCTGAGCTATAGTATCTTTGAGATTGTCCCTTATCTCCTATACCTTTGTTTTTAAAATATTTCCTCTTTAAGCATTAGGTAAGTAAAAGCTGCTATTTTAATTTGATCTTTGGTTCCTCAGAGACTAGTCCTGTGCTTGACACCATGGGTAAACAGGAACGAAAAAACTTTCATATAGTTCTTACACATAAAGGATTAAGTCTCATTGAGAAGGTGTCTGGGAAGTCTAAGTCATAGGTTAAAAAAAATTATAAATAATCTCTTTAACAGAGAGATTAGGGTTTTTCTTTTGTTGTTGTTTGTTTTGTTTTGTTTTTGGAGACAGTCTCACTGTGTTGCCTAGGCTAGGGTCCCATGCCATCAGCCTAGCTCACAGCAACCTCTAGCTCTTGGGGTCAAGCGATCCTCCTGCCTCAGTCTCTTGAATAGCAGGGACTACAGGTGCGTACCACAACACCTATCTAATTTTTCTGTTTTTAGTAGAGCTGGGGTTTTACTCTTGCACACTCTGATCTGGAATTCCTGAGCTCAAGTGATCCTCCTGCCTTGGTCTCCCAGAGTGCTAGGATTACAGGTGTGAGCCACTGCACCCAACTTCTTACCTTCTCTATCTGCATGTTTTTTCACTCAATCTCTATCTGTACATCATTTTTTTTGGAACTATTAGTATTTAATAGTAAGTTATATAGCATACATCATGACTCTATTCCTTCTTAGTATGTATTTCCTAAGAATAGGATATTTTCTTAATCCTAAAACAGTTATCAATTTTTTTTGTTTGTTTTCGGAGACAGAGTCTCAAGCTGTTGCCCTGGGTAGAAGGCCATGGTATCACAGCTCACAGCAACCTCAAACTCTTGGGCTTAAGTGATTCTTTTGCCTCAGCCTCCCAAGTAGCTGGGACTACAGGCACCCGCCACAGTGCCTGGCTATTTTTGTTGTTGTTGTTGTTGCAGTTGTCATTGTTGTTTTAGCTGGCCCGGGCTGGATTCAAACCAGTCAGCCTTGGTGCATGTGGCCAACGCCCTACAGTTACCAATTTTAAATTTAACACTGATATCATACTTTTATCTACTATTCATATTTTAGTTTGTCCATTGCCTTTTTTATGTTATCTAAATTGGACACGTCACAGAGTCCATTGTATCTTAGGTCCTAATGAAATATTTGATTGATTGTTAACAATAATTTTTCTAGTTCTGTAGTGTTAACCTTCTCACAGCTTTCTTAGCTGAATCTTGGTGCTGCACTCTCCCTAGGTGATTCGGGATGTGATAAATGTGCACATGGAAGAACTCAGTAATCACTGGAAAGAAGAACAGGAAAAAGCAGAGGATGATGCTGAAAAGTATGTCATTGTCTTTATTGGTGAAATAATCACTTTCAGTCTGTTACCTGTAATTATTTATTTTAGCATTTTTAAGATCCTTGATAGCATTCTATATATGGAACCTAAATGCTTATTGTTCATTGTTGTCAGTGCTCAATATGATTATACCAGAGCTCTTCAACAGTGCCCCTTGACAGTTTGGGGTTGGGGAGGCGGCCATATTAGTGAAATATTTAAATAGCAAAACATACTGTAAGATATATGTGTTTTTTTTTTTTAATAAACTTTTATTTTTTTATTATTTTTTTTTTGTTCTTGCAGTTTTGCCAGGGCTGAGTTTGAACTCACCACCCTTGGTATATGGGGCTGACACCCTACTCACTGAGCCACAGGCACCACCCAAGATATATGTTTTTTGTCCTCTTATGTAGAATGTAAGATTGTACCTATTTATTTAGACCCTATCTGCCATTGGTATGATTCAGAATGTAGCATTTTAGGCTGGGTGTATCTGTGTGTGTGTAATAGAGACCACTGGTAAAACGAACTGATGAATGTTTTTTTCTCTTTAGGAATGAAGAAAGGCGATCAGCTTCTGTAGATTCACGACAGTCTGTTGGAAGCTATTTGGATGCTGAGTGTTCACGACATAGAAGAGATAGGAGTAGGAGCCCACATAGACGAAAAAGAAATAAAGATAAAGATAAAAACTATGAGTCGAGAAGAAGGAAAGAGAGGTGAGTCTAATATGCATCATCTAGCATTGAATTGTTTACCTTTGAAAAGCAGAACAGGTCTTCCTTTATAGATCCTGCTGAGAAAGTAAATTGAAAGAATAAATTAAGGAGAGTAAATAATTGATGAAGATTCTTCACATTTATCATAGTTGAGTTCAGATAATCACAGTTGTAGTGACGTAATTTTATGTGTGATTGGATATTGGTTTCCCTATTGTATCACTTACTCACATGCTTGCTTCCTAACCAGGATATTTTAAAGTAATGGCTAGGGAGGAAGTTGACTATGTTTAAAAGATGTTTATTTTAATAAATGTTATCTGTCAACTTTGTAAAAAAAAAAAAAAAAAGATGTTTACCTAGATTTCTTTCTTCTGCTCCTTTCTCCCCTCTTATTCTTGCTCTTTCTCATTCTTTTTCCTGATAATTTTTCAGTTAAAGGGTATATAGGGTAAGAGAGAAGATCTAGACTTTGATAGTCAGTTTTGGCCTTGTTAGTAAAATTTTGATAGCTAGAGATGTATGAATTAATATTGAAATAATAAATTTAAATCAATCGAGGCCTGTTCCTGTATCCTAGCTGCTTATGAGGCATCTACCTGGCTCTTAGATTCATCAGGTCTGTAACTTTTTCTCAGTCTGCTGCTCTTTCCCCATTATTACTATCCTGATTAAAGAGATGAACTTCATCTATTCACCTAAGTCTGAAATCAAGCAGTCATTTTAGATACTTCTTTCATATTGCTTGCCATCTTGTCAGTTCCTTATTGTTGTTCATCTTAAGATACCCCACATATACCTCCTCTTCTCTGTCCATGTTACTGTCCATCTGGAAAATGATGTTAGTTTTCCTATTTTCTATTTTTGGTAGAGACAGGGTCTCACTCTTGCTCAGGCTGGTGCTGAACACCTAAGTTTAAGCAGTCCTCCTACCTCAGCCTTCCAGAGTGCTAGGACTACAGGCATGAGCCACCTGGCCTCTTTTTTAGTTTTATATGCATAGTGCTTGTCAAATAATATGCTTTCAAGCGACATTTTGTTTTTCCAGGGCCATTGGTCATCGGGAATTAGTAAAACTTACTGTATTGGTTTGGTAATTTTGTTCATCTAATATCATTCAGTTCGTAGGTATAAAGATAGCTATTGTTTGGTCCTTCTCTTACAAAAATGAAACATTTGCCTAGTGAACTCTTGATTCATATGATATTTTATAATTATATCTACCCAGTATATCCAGACTAACTCTTGATTATCTGTCAGAAATTGTGCTGTTTCATTTCTTTCAAGTTTATAAGTACTTCTTCGACTTAAGTAATTTTTGACATGTCTTTAATCATTCCTCATTGTCTTAACTACATTAGAAATCCTTAAAAATCTAAACATGAAATAATTTTCTTTAAAAAGGATAAACTGGGCATTAGCAAGAAATACTTCTTGGCCAGGTGTGGTGGCTCACGCCTGTTATCCTAGTACTCTGGGAGGCTGAGATGGGTGGATTGCTTGAGCTCACAGGTTTGAGACCAGCCTGAGCAAGAGCAAGACCCCATCTCTAAAAATAGCTGGATGTTGTGTCAGGCACCTGTAGCCCAGCTACTTGGGAGGCTGTGGCAAGAGAATTGCTTGAGCCTAGGAGTTGGAGGTTGCTGTGAGCTATGATGCCACAGCACTCTACCCAGGGGGCAACATCTTGAGACTCTGTCTCAAAAAAAAAAAAGAAAAGAAAAGAAAAGAAAAGAAATACTTTTCAATAGGACAAGGCTAATCTTTGATATCTGCCCTTGAGGTAGAATGAATTATGAGGACATGAGATAAGAGCCAGGAGAAGGAAATTAGTTAATTTTTGTATTCTTTGTATGGTCTTTATATTCAACTTAAAGTAAATACTCTGGTCATCTATCATTTTCAGTTAGTTCAGTTTTAAGGTAGAACTTAAAAAAAATCTTTTTTCTTATCCCTATTTCAGTTTTTCATTTAGTTTTAATCATGTTTTAATATTTACTGTTAAAAAAAATCACTGTTCATGGAACATACTGTTCTTAGCAAAGTATCTCAGGAATGGAAAAAAAAGTATCCAATGTACTCAGTCTTACTTTGAAACCAATTTATAGCTTTAAGCTATAACCCAATTATAGCCCAAGAAGGGAAAAGGGGAGAGGGAGGTGAGGAGAAGGGGGGAGGATGGGTGGAGGGAGAGTAATTGGTGGGACCACACCTACAGTGCATCTTACAAGGGTACATGTGAAATTTACTAGGTGTAGGATACACAGTAACACAATAACTAAGAAAATGCTGTGAAGGCTATGTTGACCAGTTTGATGAAAGCATTTCATATTGTGTGTAAAACCAGCACATTGTACCCTATGATTGCATTAAAAAAAAAATCACTGTTCAGTTCCAAATGCATATGTCTGATGAACACATATATTGCTGTTGAATTACTATTTTAAAACTTTGATATTAAGATATATTATTTCTAATAGTTTTCTTTTATACCCTTTTCACTTTAGGGATGGAGAGAGACATCATAGTCATAAAAGAAGAAAGCAAAAAATGTAAATGGAGTATTCGTGCATGCATTAATTATGCTTATGCCATGATAATCAATATGCTAATATTTTAATAGCTTTGCATAGGAAAATGTTTATATGATCTATTTAGTGCACATTATTTTCAATAAATACTTACTGCTTTGAACTGTGAGTACATTATATGCCCTACAATTTTGTTTTCCATATATTTTAGTAGATGGTTTACTTTCTATTACTGATTTTGTTTTGTTCTTTTGGTTAATTTATGTATCACAAAATTATTTAATTTAAAAAGTCAAAGTATATAAGTTATGTACAAATACTTTATTATTGTGAAAAATTGAACCTGACATAGGAGGCTAAAGTCCCCTTGGAACACTATCTGCAGTCCCTTTGCCCATTGCTGTGGTAACTCCTCTTTACCACTACCCCAGTGAATTAGAATGTCAAAAAACAATCTAAACATCTGAAGGGGAATAGCCTGGCTAAATAAAGTATGGCATAGTCATAGGATAGATTACTATGTTGGAATTAAAAGAAGTAAATGAAATCTGAATTAACATGGTTCAATCTCAGAAATAGGATGCTAAATGAAAATAACATTATAAAAAGTTATATAAGTTATTTATGTACATAGTACTATGCATTTTTTATGTCTATAAATATATATAAATATATTTTTAAGGGTTCAGAAGAATCTATAATAAACTAACAGCTATTAGAGGGTATAAATGGGAGAGATTAAGGGTAGATACTGTGATTGGGAGAATAGTCAAAGGAGACTTTAGCTTTATCAATAATATATTAATTCATTTTAAATAAGAAGGTATTCATATTTCACATGTTAATTTAAAATACATTGTCATTTTGTGTTCTGTAAATCAACTTAATTGAAGTATTATTTACCTACATTAAAAAGCACCCATTTTTAAGTGTATTTCATTGGGTTTTGACAAATTTATATCTCTGTATAACCATCATCATGGTCAAAATATAGACTATTTCTAATGTCCCTCAGAGTTCCCTGTATACCTTTGGCAAACAGTTCCTCTAACCCTAGCCCCAGGCAACCACAGAGGAGAACTTTCTTAGAAAAGAGAAATAAGTGGAGATTAGGAGTGAGGTGGAGGAATAGGGGAAGATAGAATAGGATAGAGAAAGGAAAAGATCTAAAGGCATCCAGATCTCCTTAAAGTTTGAATTTTAAGTATAGTATCAACTGATGCACTATTGAATAAAATGTAGAATGAGGTGAAGAGTGACATTTCTTTGATCCTTGAATTAATTTTTCTGTACTCACTTGTGTTTTGGCCCTGTTGCTGAGGGCCATTATGAGCTCCTTTAGAGCAGGTTTTATATCTTCATCAGTGTGACCCCTGTGCCTGGCACTAAGAGTTGTCAATTTGTTGTTTTAAATTTTGACAAAAGCTTTTCACACCATCCCCTCACTTGTAGTTTTGATTTTTAGAGTGCTGCTATGAATAATGACTATAGATCCCATCTATCTTAAGTTCTAGCTTCGATAGGCCATTTCTTATATGCTGGCTGCAAATGATTTTCTCTTCTGAACTCTCTTAAAGACTGATGCTAGTTAATGTTTCCTGAGCACTTACTACCTGTCTGACTGTTCTAAGAGTACATCACCTTTTGCTCTTCCATTCGTTTGTTGATGGACACTTGGCTTGTTTCTACCTTTTGGCTATTGTGAATAATGCTGCTTTAAAAATGAGTATACAAATACCTGTTAAATTCCTTGCTTTTTATTCTTTAGGGTATTTGACTAGAAGTGGAATTGCTGGGTCAATTAGGGTAGCTTAGTTTTTGGAGAAACCATTATACAGTTTTTTACAGTGACTATACACTTTACATTCCTATCAGCATGCACAAGGCATCCAATTTTTCTACATTGTTGGGAGTACATGTTATTTTCTGTTTTGTTATGTTGTGTTTTAGTAATAGCCATTCTATTGGATCTGAAGTGGTATCTCATTGTGGTTTTGATGAACTCTTTATATTAAGCTGATTTAATTGTCCCAAATACTCTGAGGTGTGACTTCTGTTAATCATCATTTTAGAGATGAGGAAACTGAGGCTCAAAGACTTAAGTAACTGCTCTGGTTTGCAGAGAAAGTGGTAGAGCTAAAAGTCCAATCCAGGCAGTCTAGGTCCTAGGTCCACACTCAATTTTTGGTGAGGAAAAGTTTGTGGGTGAGGAAGTTAAGGTATAGAGAAGCTTAGTTATTTCCCCAGCATCATACAAGTAATACAACAAAGATTGAAATTAGAGTGTTTTACTAGTTTATAAACATTTATTAACTGTGCAGTGTTTTCCATGCATTCATATCCTGATAGTCTCTATCATTTCATTGCAGTTTCTTCATATTCAGAGTTCTATGAACTCATTTATAAGGTTAAAAAAAATTGAAAATGTTACCTACCATTTTATTAAACTGATCTACAAATGATCTTAACCTTGCATTATATCTTGATACCACTTAGGTCTGAACCAAAGTTGATTGCAAGAGTCAACTTTATATAGTGAAATTTCACATGAAGACTCAAAAACCAAGATTTCACAGATCCTCCAAAAATTAACACTGGTTGACAATTAAATGCCAGATTCCAGGAGGAATCTGAACCCATATAAGGAGGTTGGAATCAACTGGGATAAACTAGGACCTACTTTACCCCATCTCAGGCCTACCTCCTACTTATCTTGATAAGAAAGAGATGTGGGTGTGGTTTCAACCTGCTCTAGGAAAACAGTATTTATCCTGAATTTCAATAGGGAGGCATTTGTAAGCAAAAAGATATTAAAGAAACTTCTCAAATATTTAGTCTGATAGTCACTTTAACTTGGATATGGACAAGGCAATATCTAAAATGACAAGGCAAGTGCTGTGCTGAGGTTATTGGTTATATTCAGTAACTGAACTCAATTTTAAATTAGATCAATGACTTACAAATATTTGCCAGTTTGGAGTATGGCTAATTGGATAATCTCAAACCCTTTAGTGAAAATTAGTTTTTGAAAGGTAAATTTGAGATAAAATCAATTGGCATTGAACAAGCTTTCCAGGGCAGCTCCTGTGGCTCAATGAGTAGGGCACCAGCCCCACATACTGAGGGTGGTGGGTTTGAACCTGGCCCTGGCCAAAACTGCAACAACAACAAAAAGTTTTCTAATTACCTATATATCCTAAAGTGTAGAAATACTAATTTAATACTGTAAACATGTGCATAGGTACCCCCCATTTTCTGAGGACATTTTATTTTTTAGTGAGTTTATGAAGGTCTTGGAGTTCTGGTGCAAAGCTTTGTTGCATTCTGAAGATTAAAAAAAGAAAATCCACTTAGATTTGCTGGAGCATGTTTAGCAGCTAATTTCCTTTTACATAGTTTGCTTTTCCAGTTGTTATAATTGAGCCTGCAGACATGTGAATTATTAAACTAAAGCTTTTAAAACCACACTTGTTTTTTATTACATTGTGCTGCCTGTTCTCGTCACAAATATTGGAGTTTTGGGGGTTGTGAAAGTCCTCACAGATTTTGGATATTTGGACTAGGACCACTAATTTCTAGAGCTCCCTTTGAGAAAAATAAAAAATAAGTTCTTTCAGACTTCAGAGGCTATGAGCTGGATCTCTTTTTATTAAGTAAGCTAAGTCACTCTCCCATTCAAAAAACAAGTCCACCTAAGAAAAAGGAAGCTGCCTTAAAATACACGAGTGCTTTGGTTTAGGAATATAAGGCAGAAGGCACTCGCAGTTTGTAGAGTTGTGAACACACCATCAGAACAATGTTGAATGAAGGAAGGCTGCAGACTCCAGGGAGTCCTGCCTCATGAGAATCACATCTTGTGGCACCAAGTAAAGGATTTGGGGTTAGGTTGCTTTAGTATTGTTTATAAAGCAGATTTCCCACAATCATGGATCATGTTCTCCAGCCCCAAGCCATGATTCCTAGTCCAGAATGAGAAAGGTAATAGGGAGCTTCAGGAAGACAGAGATGAAGCAGGAGCCTGGGCTTTATTTGCTGTTATGGACACTAATACAATGAAACACTTTTAAGTAATTCTTCATATACTAGAAGGAACGATCTTCTTTAATCAAAGGGGACAGTGGGATGAGTTAGGTACAATACAAATCTGCCTCTTCTTAGCAGTGTGGTCCTAGGCAAATTTTTTTTTTTTTGAGACAGGAGCCTCAAGCTGTTCCCCTGGGCAAAGTGCCATGGCATCACAGCTCACAACAACCTCCAACTCCTGGGCTCAAGCGAGTCTCCTGCCTCAGCCTCCCAAGTAGCTGGGACCACAGGTGCCTGCCACAACACCCGGCTATTTTTTTTTTTGGTTGCAGCCATCGTTGTTGTTTGGTGGGCCTGGGCTGGATTCGAACCCGCCACCTTAGGTGTATGTGGCTGGTGCCTTAGCCACTTGAGCCACAGGCGCCAAGCCGCAAATTCTTAATCTCCATGCCTCCTGCACCTCATCTGCAAATTGAGGATCACAATATGTCTTCAAATGGTTGCAGGGTCAGGCTTAGAGATAATGAATGTGATCTGGTTCATGCAACGTCTGACATGGTAAGTACTAAATATCTGCCATTATTATGGCTTATAATACAGATGTGAGCTTTTTCTTTCTGCTCTGGTTCCTGAGTCTGGTTTTGCTTATGGACCAACTTAGATACCTCTTGTGCCCTCAGAGAAACATGCTACATAGGCTGGGCACTTGGGCTTACACCTGTAATCCTAGCATTCTGGGAGGCCGAGGCAGATGGATTGCTTGAGCTCAGGAGTTGGAGACCAGCTTGAGCAACAGTGTCCTGTCCTGTCTCTACCAAAAATAGAAAAACTATTCAGGCATTGTGGCACATTGGGCACTACAAGTCCTAGCTCCTCGGGAGACTGAGGCAAGAGGATTACTCAAGCCCAGGAGTTTGAGGTGGTTGTGAGCTGTAACACCAAGATACTTTACCCATGGTGAAAGTATGGGTGAAACTCTCAAAAAAGAAAGAAAAAAGAAAAACACACTATATATCATGGAAGACTTAAGAAACAGTTTGTATAAGGGGTGCTTCATATTACCTCCCTATAGCAGTGTACAGGCAGTACACACTTGAATGGCCTACCAGTGTTAAAGTACTAGAATACTTCTAAACCAGGAAGAAACTGCTGTCTCAAGCCTCACCTTTCCTTTCCTCTTTGCCCTAGAAATTCCTGACCCTCTCCTGCACC